ACAATTGTTGCGATCAAGATGTCAACAAAGGGTCGCTAAGGAGGGAGGAGCAGAGATGGTTGTGAGAAGTGTGGGTGTCTGCGAAAAGGAAGAGGCAAATCTGCTACTGTGGTCATGGTGGAGAAATTTGTGTACATCAGCATGTTTTGTTGATCAAAAGAGAAATAGTTGTATAACTTAATCAGCATAATCCACAAATCTAAAAGTAAATATTTGTAATCCACTACACAAATTGAAGGAAAAAAGAAAAAGAAGAAAAGAAATCTCTCTAGGAAAAAAGAAAAAGAAAAAAAAGAAATCTCTCAAAGAAAAAGAAAGCCCTAATTTAAGTGTAGAAGATAAGGCGAAAATGGCCAAATAATGTTTCATAGTAGCGGAAGCAAAACAATTCCAAACCAAAAATTAATATGTGAACACAGTTTACAAACCAAACCAATATGAAGGACTCCACATCTCCGCCAAAAAAATAATGTTCACACCACAAAATCTACGCATGAAGAATCAAGATTTAAATTAGACATGCTCAACCCCAAAGTCAGAACCAATGCAATTCAAAATCTGTCACATTAGCTAAAAAAGTACACAGCATCAAAGAAATAGCAAAAAAAAATTGAGTTCACCACATAAGAAAGTGCTGTCTCCTCTCTTCTGCATCAACATGACGGAAAAAAAATTCTTTTTTGCAATGCATGAATTTATTCCTTCAAATGATCAGGCCGCTAAAATTCATCCTCTCCAGCTAGCACAGAGGAATCAAGAATCTTTACTCTGCTGCAAGTTATGATTTTCCTAGCAAGTTATGATTTTCGTAGTTATGAAATTAGAAACATATTGTTGTTGTCTTGCAAGTAATCCTTAAACCATCCAACCTATCTACCTTGTTGTGCTTGTCTGGAGCAAGACAAAACCCTTGCCTGATGATGACTCTTCCTCCTGAAATAAAAATTGACCTAACCAATTACAAATTTTCAGTGGGTGGGCAACACCACGCTAGTCTTGTGTCCCTACAGCTACAAAAGTATTCAAGTGTTCCTTTTGTTCCTACATTTTTTTTAGTGACATGCCTTTCTATTATGAAAAATGATATATAAACTTATTTTTCTTTTAATGATATATATAAGTTTATTTTGTGGACTTATTTTCTATACTAAATGATATGTAAGTGATATGATTGGTTTATAATTACAAATGACCCGTAAACAAAACCCTAAAATAAGCTGTTGGAAGAATCCCTTATTTCCATGAATTCATTGTCTATTGCAACACCTAAAAGATTCATCTTGGTCTAAGCATTTACTTTCATGTTCACTTGCTGATGTATTACTCTCTCACACCTGGTTCTCTGTTGCTCCCATCTCTTCTACCACTGTAATTATCAACTACTTCATCAGGATTCCCTTCAAAAACATCAGTTGAATGTCAAACATTGTGTCCTCAAGTTCATAGCAAACCAACGACTCCTCTTCCTCTAATAAATGCAAAACCTAACAAAAACCAAATATTTCAAGACCAAACAATTATTAATACAATAAATTATTCTGTGTTTAATCTCTTTTTCTCTGATGCATGACTTTATTTGTTTAGAAAATAAAAGAATAAACATAATAATTTTTTTAGGCTCAAATATAAATATCTATTCAAAGTGTGACTAAATTAGTGGGTTGACGATAATAGTTAATATATATTAAGCGGGTGGACTTGGATTTAATAATTCTTTTTTGCTAAACTTTGGATGACTAAATTGGGTTGATGCTAGTGTGGCTCTGTTTAGAGCTTAAAGTAACATGTATATTTCTTATTATGTAGTGTAATCCCAATCTGATTGATGTTCATCACTGACTCCAAGAATTCAGTTCCTTCACTTGATCTCTATCTCCACTACATTCCAAATCTTCAAGACACCAAAGCAGTTATCTCCTTTCAAAGTCCCTAACAATTAACTCCAATCCTTACAACTTCATTTTTAAATTGAGTAATGATATACAAATAAAAAAAGAACATATAGAACGATATAGTTGAATTCTCAAATTATCAACAACAAAAAAAAAAACCCTACCAAGATGATTCTAAATTTCAAAAAAATTTACTGCCACATCATTTCAAAAAATTTGTATGAAAATTTTAGTAGAAAAGAATTTTCCTTCTAAATTTGGTCCATCAAAAAATTTGGGAAAATTGTTCGTTCATAGATTGAAATTACAACTAACACAAAAAAATGACCATCTATACATGCTGGAATCTGGAGCTTTCCATGTGCCAACTATTTTCTCCTTTAGCAAAATATGCGCGTGATATAACAGAGGTACGCTCGAGCGCTAGAGAACCCGCTCGAGTGCGAAATCACACATCTCAGTACTTTTACAGGCGACCAAAACTGCTGGAACCAAGGATTCTCCGCTTGAGCGGGGTAATGTCCGCTCGAGCGGATAGGCAACTTGGAATGCATTAGCATCACAAACTTCTCTGAAAGGCACAATTCGAGTTGGATTCGCATCTAAACACTCATAGCCTTACTGAAATAAAAGTGAGAAAAGAAATACAACTGAAAGGAGTTTTGTCAAACAGGATTGCCAAGAATAAAACCTAACAACAGTGGTTCCCCTCAGAGACCTGACAGACCTATCCTTACCCGTGGCCTTCCAGTACCCAGCCAGAGTCGCTCTGTTCAATCGCTGCCCATTCTGATACTTGCGATCTTTAGGACAGAAAAAGAACCACTCTTCATCAGTCGTCTTTATCGCCGATTTATCTGCATAAAATTAGATCAAAGCAAACCCAAAATTAGGGCTTGTTGTGGGTGGGTGGGACGGAGGGAGAGGAAGAGAGAGAGAGATCTGAGAAGTTGGAGAGAGAGAGAGAAGTGCAAATATGTTTGGGTTTGTTGTGGGTGGGTGGGACGCTCCAGAGACAGCGAGAGAGGGATTGTTTTGGGCGGGAATGCGAAAATGTCACAAAGGATCTCAGCCTTTAAAAAATAAAAACAAATCATCCCAGCCCTTAATTCAAAATGTATCTCTCATACATTTTAACACATTTTCAAAAAACCTCCTCCCTTATTATATAGATATATAATTTTCAAGTTGTTAACAAGTAGTTTTTAGGGCACTTGTCAATAAAATCTAACAAAAAAGTGACACTTAATAAAATTACTTAGAGTGAAATGCTAAGTTGTGGTTATTGTTAGGGAAATTTTTTTTGAGATCTCTAATATTAAAATTTTATGAGATAAAAGACATATAATATTTTTATAATAGTTAAGGTTCCTCAATATTTTTACAAAAAAAATTCAGCTCAGAAAAATTTTGCCTGACTTAATGAAATTTCAATTTTTATAGAGAAATTTTAACATTTCTCTGTGATCATATCAGAAAAATTTCAAAATTTCTCTGAATCAGGCAAAATTTCTCTAAGTTGAATTTTCTCTATGAAAATGTTAAGGGACCTTAGCTAATAAAAAAATAAAAATAAAAAACATTTTAGACCTTTCCTATTACACATAGTTGGAGAGAGATATTTGGTTAATTTTCCCTTATTGTTATATAAGTGTATTAAAATATATAAAAGTGTATGAAAATATGTACAATGTGTTTCAAAATTCTTTTTTTTTTTATTATTATTATTATTATTTGATCATTAACTAGCATCCTGTAAATACTAATTAATAAGACTCTTGTTTAAATAGATTTCAAAATACATTTTATTTACATACAATTTTTAATTTTTATTGATCATATAGGAATGTTTTGGCAATGGACTATTTTAGTTAAAAAGTCAATAATTTTCTCTATTTTTATATACATCTTTTCAAAAAGTCAATTAAAACAATTACTTCCCAAACAACTCTATACTTAAGGAAAGTTGAGATTTTAACTAAAAAGTCCAAAAAAAAATTACTAAAAAAACAAAAAACAACAATCATCTCTATTTTTTGGGCAAATTACATATACACTGAGGTTTCGAAAATTACATCACGCCTCCTGAGGTTTACATTCGCTTAACAATTGAATCTCTGCCGTCAACTAAGCCGTTACAAAAGTGTGCTGACATCACCAAAATTTATGTTGATGGACCATATTACCCCTAGGACCTTTCAAAGTGCCAAACAACCCCCTTTATTTATTTATTAATTTTTAAACACAACCAGACAACCTGTACCAAAGCACAAAGAACTTTTTATTTTTTATTGAACACAACCATTTGGTTTGCTGTTTAAAAAAAAATTCAAACTTTTTATATAAAAAAAAATAAAAACTAATCTAATAAAAATAAATATAAAGAAATATATTTAATTTGTAAAAAATTATTTCTAACAACTCCAAAGATAAAATTATATAAAAATGATAATTATTTTTTATTTTTTATTTCTTAACCAAATTAATTTTTATTTTTTTAAAAAAATTTCGAAAACAAATTTCTAAAAATCAAACTATACATAACCTAAATTTTTTTTGATAAATCATTTCGTACGTTAGTAACTTATTTAATTATTTGTTAATTTTACGACATTTTTAACATCTAATAAATGTTTCTCCATTTTAATTTTGCATTCCATAAATTATTAAATTAATTAATTTTGTATTCGCAACTTATTTAGTTAATTTGTTATTTTTTGAGTTTTTTTTGGGGTGAATAGTTATTTTTTGGGTAATAAATAAATACCATGGAATCCTCTTCAACATGAAAGGAATGAAAAAAGAGCACTCAAGTAGCTTGAAATTGAAATATTAGCTTATAAATTCAGATACACAAATCTGGAAGGAATGAAAAAAGAGCGCTCAGGCTCCGTTTGGCAAGAGCTAAATGGGGCTTTTTTGGCTATTTTAGCCACAAAAAACAAAATATCACATCCAACCTATAATCATTACATTCTTCTCTCACAAAAAAATTCAAAAAAGCCAAAAAGTCCTTCCCAAACCAAACTTTTTAGCCCAGGCTAAAATAGCCAAAAAAGTCAAAAAGCCAACCCACTTCCCAAAGGGAGGCTCAAGTAGCTTGAAATTGAAGTATTAGCTTAAAAATTCAGATACACAAATTTGAAATACTAACTTAATTACATATTCATGTCCAACAAAATTAATTACAAGTCTGAAATATTCATGTCCACCAAAATACAAGTTTGAAATATTTACTTAATTACATTACACATTCAGATACAAATTCTTGTCCAACAAAAACGTTACAAGTCAATAAAATAGTAGCCCACCCAATTCAAAAACCTGTGGTGAGCAAGGAAGTTTGGTAATATGGTCCACCCAACACTTCTGCAGCATACATTGGAAGTTTGGTGTACGCCTCTGCATGATTACCCTCAATTGCCTCCATGGCTTTCCTCTTTCCTCTGTACAGTTGCATCCTTGTAGTCTCCAATCCATAATTTTCTGCCATTTCATCATGCATTGCCTCTAGAGTGATCCCCGAATTCCCTCTAAGAGTTTTTTCAAACTTCTTAGCAATCCAAGATGATGTTGCTTCAGTATTCCTTTCTACTCTAACGCATGTATGGTCGAGGCCCAATGTCTTAATATTATATGTCACCCCATCAGGTAATGGAGAAGCATGAATTCTCCATTCACACATCGAGGAAGAACATATGCAAGTCACTCTTTTCTTGTCATTTTTTATTTTAATCAATTTAGCACCTCTTTCAATTGCAAATTCCTGGAGCACAGTCCTGAAGTGATACACATCATCAAATATCATTCCCTTCTCCAATGTTATTTTATCACCTTCCTTTATTTCAAACATTTTCCCCCTCATATATCTGTCAACATTAACACCTTGCACATCTTCTTCATCAGTCGAATAATTCCCTCCTATATCATCAGATTCATAGTCTGATATCCCCTCATCATTAGCCTCAATTGGTTTATCTGACCCATTGCTACCCTCATCATTATCTGAAGTGTCCTCATTATCCTCATCACTAATGATATAAGCATTTTCTTCATCAACATCTGCTTCACTAAATTCAAAATCCCCTAACTCCGTCCAATTAACATCGTTGTAGTCATCCACATTGTTATATAAATCATCAGATACTACCAATCTATTTCCAATGTTACTAACCACACCACCTCTTGTACTTGTGCTACTACTACTCACGTGTCCCTCTCCACTAGTAGGAGTATCAGTTACGACAAATGAAGGTAAAAGTCGATCAAGTTCCAGAAAAATATTAATCACCTTAATACCATAATTTGAACTAAACATTTCAATGACATCCTGATTAGATTTAACCTCCATCTTACTCTTAGTTTGTGTTTGTAAAGTACAAATTTAATCCCACACCAAAATTTCCAGGTACATTAGTGAGTGCAGCTTCACAAGCATCAGCCAACAATTGCATGTAGTTATACTTGTAAGGATTAACATTCAAAATGTGACTTACAGAACCATTAAAGTGTACTAGTATGTCATGAAGCATGGGATCAACCATTGTCCTAAATACAAAAAAATCATCACAAAATTCATGAATATCAGAAGGCATCTACATAACAAGCTTACATTACAACATCAAAATTTTAGTAAATAAAAGAGTAGAAAATAAACCCAAAAAAACCACCTAAACCGAAATTTTAGAAAAAGAAAGAGTAGAAAACAAACCAAATAAATTCCCAAAAATACTAATTGAAACAGACCCAAAATTTTAGTAAAAGTAAGAGTAAAAAACAAATATAAAAAATTAAAAAAAAATTCCCTAAAATACTAATTGAAAACAAACCCTATAACCCCAAAATTTTAATTAAAAAAAAGGTAGAAAGAAACCCAAAACAAAAAAATCCGAAAATAGATTGAAAACAAACCTTTAAACCCTAATTTTTTTTTTAACAGGGTAAAATACAAACCCAAAAAAATCGATTAAAGACTCACAAAATTTCGTAAGCAAATAATCCTAAAACAAATTTTATAAAAAAAAAATCATGAACAAAGAATCCTAAACCCCCAAATTTCAATGCTTAGTATGAGAGAGTAAAAATTGATCACTTACAAATTTCAGATTTTTCTTCAATCAACTATCTAAACTTCTTTGTGTAGTCTTTTCTTCTTTTAGATCTATGCATCCAACAATAAACAACAATGAACTTTCCCCTTTGCAATGCCTTTTCCGTCTCTCTCAGATAAAGATCTCACTTTCCCCTTTGCAATACCTTTTCCATCTCTCTCTCGGATAAAGAAATGAAGAAAGTGAAGTACTTGAACCTAGCTAAAAAAAAAAAAGAAGTTTAGTTATATAAAATGCAATTACTGACTTGACATGAGGGCATTTTAGTTAATTTATTGGATGGGTTAACAGAGTTAATTGTCAGGGGACCGGATGTGATTTTCGAAACTTCAGGAGATATCTGTAATTTATCCAAATCTCAAGGGGTATATGTAATTTATCCCTATTTTTTTATATATCGTTTCATAAAAAGTAAAGACTTTATTTAAAAAAATTAATTCTCACAATAATCCTAGTAATTTCTTAATGGAAAAGTCTACAATGTGCACCTTATAAAAGGGCATATGATATGCACTTATTGTGTGGTCCATATCGTGCCACATCATAAAAAATGACCTGTTAAACCGGTCATATAACAGGTTACAGAAAGAATTATAACTTTTTTTCAAATATCATAGCAATACTACAATGAATCATAACAATGTCATAATATTGACCTAAGTGTCATAACAAAGACACTATAAATCATAACAATATAATGACAACTCATAACAAATATAGTTATTTGTAATTAATAATCATAACATTTAAATCGTAACATTTTTTATTATGATTCACCATGACAAATCATAACTTTTGGTGGTACAAATCATAACTTTTACTGATGAATCATAACTATAACACATTGAGTATAACTTTTTTTTCCACAATCATAACGACATCAACAAATTATCATAACTCTTATCAATGAATCATAACATAGCATGTTGATTGTAATTTTGTCCAAAAAATCATAACAACATTAACAAAACATCATGATTTTTAAAATTTCAAACACAATTGATTGTGTAATCAATTGGTATAGCATATTGGAGTGAATGGAAAATCGTAATTGATTGCAAAATTGATTGGATTGAAAGACCACAATTGATTATACAATCGATTAGTGGCCAGAGTTTTGAACTTTCACAATTGATTGTACAATCCATTAGAATATAAGGGAGATTCAAATATCACAATTGATTGTGCAATTGATTGTAGAGATCCTTGATATAATAAACCTAATTGATTCAATAATCAATTAGTTTTCATAAGCCACACTAAACCAATTAATTCCCAACTTATTCATAGTTCCCAATGAATTAGTAAAAGCCTAATCATTAATATCAATTTAGTCAATATTCGAATAGTAATTGATTGGTTGATCGGTTGCCATTTATATGTAATTTTGTTGTTGTGTTTTCATTACCTCAAACATTATCACTAACAAAAACGCATGACATTCTAACTACGTTTCTCGTTTTATAATTCTCTCCCTCTCTCTCTCTCTCTCTCAAAGTCATTATCGTCAATGTTAATGTTACCTGAAATGTTGTTGGTATAACTATCTCATCGACTCTCACTCTTTCTTTCCTTGTCATTATTAGTGAATTAGACAACAATGTTATTGTTACCAACTTCAATTAATCATGCCTTTTGATCCACTAAAACACAACCATCATCATCGGCTTAGCCCATTATAATAGCATTGTTGCCACTACTAGTGTCATGTTGTCATTATGTCCAAATGATGACGTCGGGTATAAATGACTTTGACACACACTACAAGAATTTTCACTTTTGGCGACTAAATTTTTAGTCCCCAAAAGTCAATTTTTGTATACAAAAAATAAATAACTTTATCTGTCAAAGTACACACAAACCAACTATTGTCCAAACTAAAATAATAATTTCATACAAAATATAGAATCATACAAAAAGCAAAGCCCTCCATATACAAAAATTACATTTACTACCATGTGAAATGACCATTTGGCATGGTACAAATTACCATCGTAATCTGTACCACGACAAAAGGTGATGTATGTACCAAGACAAAAGTACATCTATGTACCACGACAAAAAATCATATATATGTACGACGACAAGAGGTGATCTATGTACCATGCCAGTAATTATCTGTTGGCTGCCAAAAGTTTTTTGTATCAGTAATAGTGAACTGCACAAAAGCCGGGGATGACAAAAGTATTACATTAGTTATATACAAAAGTGAAATTTCTTCTCCATACACCAAAATATTACTCTGAAAGTCCACGCAACAAAGTCATCTACAAAAACCAAAAAAACATTAGAATTAGACCCAAAAATGCCCAACTTCATGAATGAATTTGGGAACAAGTGAAAAATAACATATCAAAGAAGCAACCTTCCATGATGAATCAATTATCAATCTTTCTAAAGTCTTTTGTTATAAGGAAAATTGTTAAATACAGAACAATCATTACTAAATCTGTCATTACTAGCATAAAGCTAATGTAACAATCTTCTATTTGTATTCAACATGTATCCAAATTATGTGGCTAAACCAATATCAAAGCCCGATGTGAATAGAAACTATTCTTTTTACCAACTTCCTCATTAATTGTTTGCAAAAAACACTTGAATCATTAGATTGGATATAAAACTATCCCTACTTATTAATGTCTGTCAGTGCCATTTCATTCAAGATATTAGAACATGTGAGAAAAATAATAACCAAAATAAAGTTCAATCACAAAAGGAAATATGTAGAAATGTACGTTCAATCACAAAAGCAACCTTCCATGATGAATCAATTATCAGTTTTGGGCGTATTCGGCTCTAACTCCCAACCTACGAGTCCGAATTACATTCCGTCAGTTGTCACAAGTCCTATTTGTTATGGAGAAGCTGCCCGTGAGAGCCGCATGGTGGTTCGGGGGCTATTTTGAATTTTCGCCCCCGAAACGCCCTTTTTAGACTAAGTTTTGGACGTGTTCTGCTGTAAATCCCAATCTATGGGTCCGAATTACATTCCTTCAATTGTCACAAGTCTTATTTGTCATGGGGAAGCTGCTCGTGAGAGTCACACGGTGGTTCGGGGGCTGTTTTGAATTTTTTCCCCCGAAACGCTTTTTTCGAGTAAGTTTTGGGCGTATTCGGCTCTAAATCGCAACATACGGGTCCGAATTACATTCTGTCAGTTGTCACAAGTCCTATTTCTCATAGGGAAGCTACCCATGAGAGTCACACGGTTGTTCAAGGGCTGTTTTGAATTTTTGCCCCCCGGAATGCCCTTTTTCAGGTAAGTTTTGGGCATATTCGGCTCTAACTCCCAACATACGGGTTCGGATTACATTCCGTCAGTTGTCAGAAGTCCTATTTTTCATGGGGAAGCTGCCCGTGAGAGCCACATGGCGGTTCAAGGGCTGTTTTGAATTTTCGGCCCCAAAACGCCCTTTTCTAAGTAAGTTTAGGGCATATTCGGCTCTAACTCTCAACCTACGGGTCTGAATTACATTCCGTCAGTTGTCACAAGTCCTATTTGGCATGGAGAAGCTAGCCGTGAGAGCCACACGGTGGTTCGGGAGCTGTTTTGAATTTTTGCCCCCCGGAACGCCCTTTTTCGAGTAAGTTTTGAGCGTATTCGGCACTAACTCTCAACCTACGGGTCCGGATTACATTCTGTCAGTTGTCACAAGTCCTATTTGTCACGGGGAAGCTGTCTGTGAGAGCGACACGGTGGTTTGAGGGTTGTTTTGAATTTTTGCCCCCGGAACGCCTTTTTTCAACCGTGTTTAAGGCGTTTTCGGCTCAAACTCGAAGCTTACGAGTCTGAATTACATTCCGTCAGTTCAATTCTCTTTTAAAAAATGGTTTTTTTTTTTAATCAATATTATGTTACAGATTCCATGATTCTCATGCCATGCCATGCCAATTTCTTTATATCATCATTTCTTTATGTCATCACAAGTTATATGGCATGAAGCAATT